TCGAACTCCTGAGCTCAAACAATCCCCCCGCCTCGGCCTCCCAGAGAGCTAGGATTACAGGCGTGAGCCACCGCGCCCGGCCTCATTTCTGTCAGTTTTTGTTTCACATATTTTGTGGCTCTGTTGTTTAGTGCATATGTACTTAGGATTACTGTGTTTTCTTGGTGGATTGACTGTTATATAATGTCCTACTTTGTATCTCATGAATTTCATTTGCTCTGGAGTCTACTTTATCTGATTATTGTTAATATAGGCACCCTGCTTTTCTCTGATTAATGAATACATGATACATCTTTTTCCATCCTTTTCCTTTCAACCTGTCTTTATTGTTATAGTCGAAGTGAGTTTCTTTTTTTTTTTTTCCTTTTTTGAGACAGAGTCTCACTGTGTTGCCCAGGCTAGAGTGCCGTGGCGTCATCCTAGCTCACAGCAACCTCAAACTCCTGGGCTCAAGCATTCCTCCTGCCTCAGCCTCCCAAGTAGCTGGGACTGCAGGCATGCGCCACCATGCCCGGCTGATTTTTTCTATATATTTTTAGTTGGCCAATTAATTTCTTTCTATTTTTAGTAGAGATGGGGTCTCGCTCTTGGTAAGGCTGGTTTCGAACTCCCGAGCTCAAACAATCCGCCAGTCTCGGCCTCCCAGAGAGCTAGGATTACAGGCGTGAGCCACCGTGCCCGGCCCGAAGTGAGTTTCTTGTAGGCAGCATGTAGTTGGGTCATGTTTTTAAATTTGCTCTGCCAATCTCCATCTTTTACTGGTGTATTTAGACCATTTACATTGAATAAAATTATTAATAGAGCTTAAGTCTGCCATTTTTTTTCTGTTTGCTTTTTCATGCGTTTCTGTTATTTGAACAGAATAACAGATTTATCTGTAAAATTTGTCAGTGTATCTTTTTGGACAGCTTTCTAGTGCTTGCTGTAGGTATTACATTATATATACATAACTTATCACTGGTCTACTGGTGTTGTCATTTTACCAGTTTGATAAAGTGTTAGAAAACTTACCTCTCTTTATGTTTCTTTACCCTTTCCCCTTCATAATATAATTGTCTTAAATATGTCCTCTGCATACATTTAAAAACACACAGAACATGTTTGTAATTTTTGCTTCAGCCGTCATACATAATTTAGAAAACTTGAAAGAAGGAAATCCTGTTGGTTTTACCCATATTATTGCTCACTGTGTTCTTTCTTCTTTCCTGATGTTCCAAAATTTTTTTTTTTATAATTTCTATTCTGTGTAGACAACTTTCTTTAACCAGTCTTTTAGGATAGATCTGCTGGTGATAAATTCTCCTTAGTTTTCCTTTATCCGAGAATGTCTTTATTTCCCTTTCATTCCTCAATGATATCTTCACTGGGTATAGGATTCTGGGTTGGCACCTCTTTTCTTTCATAACTTAAAAAATGTTTTCTGCTTCCTTGGATAACCTCCACGGATGGCCTCCATGGTTTCTGATGAAAAGTCCTCTGTCGTTAGAATTATTTTCCCACATAAGTAAGATGTCATTTTTCTCTACCTACTTCCAAGACTTTTTCTTTGTTTTTAGTTTTCAGAAATTTAAATACATGATGTGAGTTAGAATGGCTTTCTTTAGGTTAATCCTTTGAGGGGTTTGTATAACTTCTTGAATCTGTAGGTTTATATCTCTTGCCAAAAAATTTTCATATGTTATTTTTCAGTCCTGCCTTCTTTCTCCTCTGTTTCTGGGACTACAATGACAAAAACGTTAGATCTTTTGTTTTAGTCCCAAAGATCCCTGAGGCTCTGTTAATTTTTTCCTCTCAGTCTGTTTACTCTCAGTTCGGATTAGGTAATTTCTAGTGTTCTGTCTTCCATTTTACTGATTTTTGTCCTTTGTACTCTCCATTCTGCTCTTGGAACCCATCCACTGAGCTTTTTATTTCAGTTATTATATTTTTCAGTTCTAAAATTTCTATTTGGTTCTTCTTCATGTCTCCTATTTCTTTGCCAAGGCTTTCTATTATTTTATTTGTTTCAATGTGTTTGTAATTGCTTGTTGCAGCATTTTGTTTTCATGGCTGCTTTAAAAATCTTTGTTCGATAAATCTAACATCTGTGTCATTTCACTGTTACCATCTGTTGATTGTCATTTTTCGTTCAGTTTGAGATCTTCCTGATTTTGGGTATGACAGGTTTTTTTTTAATTGAAACCTGAGCATTTTTGTATTATGTTATATGATGTTGCATGTTATTTGAACCGTCTGTTTTAGCTGGCTTTCATTGACACCACTTCAGCAGGGGAAGGGGAAGCGCTGCCTTGATACTGCTCGGTGGAGGTAGAGTTCCAGGTTCCCTGCTTGGCCTCTGTTGACACCTAAGGTGAGGGCTCCTTTTTACTGCTGGATGAGGATGGGAGTCACAGTTTTACCATGATCTCCACTGACACGGCAAGAAGAAGATCCCCATTTCTGACCAGTGGAGATGAAAGTTCTGGGTCCCTTCTGGGCCTTCTCTGACACCACCCTGGCAAGGATATCGGGATTCCTTGGTCCAGCCTTGCAAGGGTAAAAGTCTGGGCTCCCAGCTTTTGCTGGCATGGGTGAGAGTGGGGCCACAACTTTTCCCTGTCATATTTGGTAGTAGTTGTTTAAAAATTTTCTGTCTTGCTACGCTCCCCTTTTCCTGATCCTCAGACTAGAGAGGGATTTTAGAGGGCTATGTTTGTCCATGCCCCTTGGCATTGTCAGGTTGCTGACTTCTTCAGCCCATGTCTAGGATAGATGAGGCAAAAAGAAAAACCTCGGAACTCATTACCATGTCATTCGTCGGGTCCTGATGTTCCCAGCTTGTCTGCCTTCTTTTCTCCACCTTTCAGAATACTCTTATATTTGTTATATATGTAAAATGTCCAGGATTTTTAGTTGTATTTAGCAGAAGGAATAGGGAAAAGTCCATTTATTCTATTCTGGAAGCATAAGTCAGCGTATGACGTCTAATAAGACAATTTTGTAAAATAAATTAATGGGAAAGAGAGGACCTTTCCTATTAGATAATTAAAATGTACTGTAAAACTATTATAATCAAAAGTGTTTGGTGCTGACATAGGAATAGGAAAATATATTAATGCAGACTAAAAGTGTAGAAAGAGATCAAGTATCTGTAGACATTTAAGGTATAATAGAGGAGGCACTTCAGGTAAGTGAGGAAAAGATAGACTATTCAGCAAATGATATTAGAATAATTAGCTATCCATTTGGAAGAAACGGAAGTATATATGTTAGAAATGCATAATAGACAAAGGGCTTAATATACTTTTAATACTCATATATCCTACAAATTCATTAGAAAAAGATGCATTATTTAGCATAAAAATATTGAAGATGTGAAGAGTCAACTCTTTGGTTTTAGATAACTAGAAGATAAAAAGAAATATAATACAAATGAAAACAAATAATGTACCATTTTTACCTGTTAGGGTTTGTAAAAATAAAAAGTATAATGTGTCCAGTGCTAGCAAGGGAAATAAGTACTCTCATATCCTCTTGGTGGGAGCATAAGTTGTAGCAGCCTTTTTGGAACATAATTTAGTAGTATCCATCAAAATATTAAAAGTTTATATGCTTGGAACAACAAATTCCACCTCTAGGAATCTGTTCTAAATAGCAAAAGAATTTAAAGCTGTATGTGTAAATGTTCTTGGAGCATTATTTATAATAATAAAAAATTGGAAACAACCTAAATATAAGTCAGTTGGGGACCGGTTGAATAAAATATGGTATATTTATACAATATGATAAAATAAAAAAGAATGAGGTATATATGTGTGTGATTGTGAGTGTGTGTAGATAAATATCCATGATGTATATTTAAATTATAAAAGCAAGTTGCAGATCAGGATTCCAGTGGTTACTGCTGAGAGTGAAATTGAATTAGAAGGAAGGGAAGGGGTACATAATGAGGGACTTTCAGCTTTACTCTGTATAATTTTATTTTAAGTATTAGAATTTAGGTGATTTTTACTTTTGGGTTTTCTGAATTTTCCAAACAAAATAAATTTAAAAAGCTAAATTATAAATATTTATTGCATGGATGAAATATATAAACCAATTGTGTATGTTGTTGTTTTAAATTACTATTTCACTGTTACAAGCTTTTTAAAGTAAATGCTGCAGAATATAGTACTCCTCTAAACTCTGTGAAGTGAGGAGAACGGAAGTATGGGGAAATCTTTTACCAGTGTAAGAACTGAAGAAGAAAGCAATGTGAATGTGTGCATTTGGAATTTTTGGCAAACTGCTGAGATCCATAGCTTGAGCCTTTCTTTTAGCCAGCTTGATGATATTGATGATAAGCAAGGACTTTCTTTTTGAAAATGTGTATTTCTTTTTTGTTCTGACAGAAATGACATCAGATGTACCATCATTGGGTCCAGCCATTGCCTCTGGAAACCCTGGGCCTGGGATTCAAGGTGGAGGAGCCATTGTCCAGAGGGCTATTAAGCGGCGACCAGGGTAAGTTTGAGTATGGTATGTTATGAATGTTTCTCCTATAAACCAACCTAATTTAGTTAGTTACTGAACCCACTTGGCTATTCCTGACTCTCTTTCTTCAACTGATTACTTACTACATTGCTGTCATATAAGTCTCCTTAGTCTCTGGATTTTTCCTTTTTATGTTCTTTACACCTGTGTTGTGGGGGAGATTTGTCTTTTTGTCAAATCGATGTTTTTATCTAAGTTCCCCAAAGCATTTCTTTTTTTAAACCAAGAATCTCTGCAAGGTAAAGGACTGTGGCTAAGCCCAGAGATGTCACTATTGCTGAGAAAACTACTGCTTTCATTCATTAAGCTTTATGTCTATATTTCAAAATCATTTTGATAGGCTTCTTTTCTGAATTTAGAGAGTGCTGACCTTACTGATTTCTTTTCTAATGTATTGATATGTTGCTTGATTTGGAATGCAGAGTCTATTCAATTCCAAAAGTACTTATTAAATGCCTAATTAGCGTATGGCATTGTGCCGACTGCGAATAGGATACAAAGATAAATAGGACACAGTCCTTGTCTCCAAGTTGCTTATGTTTTGACAGGAATAATCATTACACAAATACATATAATACAAGATAGAATATGCCAGGTTTTATCAGAAAGGAACAAATTCAGTGCTGTGTTTTTCTGTGTACAGAAATACATTTGGTTGGTAAAGATTGGGAAAAACTTCAGAAAGGAGGTTGCTATAGAGGGACCTGGATGAATGGGTTGTATTTTATCCACTTTTTGGTATTACATTTCCCTTTTTTCTTTTTCTTTTCAAAAATTGTATACTTAACGATTGTAACTATTTAAGTTTCATCTCACCAAAAGTAATTCAGGAGTGATCCGTGAGTTAAGTGGTAACATGAGTAACATACTAAGATTTGTTTTGTGTTCAAGAACTTTATACATTTTAACTCATTTATTGAGGCATAGGTGTATAAGTAACTTTCTAAGGTTCTAAAGCTAGTAAGTGGCAGATCTAGGGTATAAACCTTGGGAGTTTAGCTTTAGAGTCCACTCTCTTAAACACTGTTATTGTTACATATAATAGCAAACAGTTAGAACCAATATAAATATTTAAGGGATCACTTGAGCAAGTTACAGTATATTTAAAATGGACTAGTACATTGCTAGAATTGGCAAATATGTATTAGTACAGAAAAATGTTCACAATATATTAAGAGAGGTTACAATATTACAGTAATATTTCATTGTCAGAAAAAAACATATATAACACGAGTGTATAGCAAAAGCACTGAAAAAATACCCATCAGATTTCTGGGTGATGGGATTATGGGTGTTTTATTTTTTCCTTTGCTTTTAATTTTCCAGATTTTCTGAAATGAACGTGTATGATTGGTAATCAGAAAAATATATTAAAAGAAAGGTTGGAAAATGTAGAAAGTTAGAAAGAACAACAAAATGGCCAGGGGCAACTGCCGTCAGTTTTTCAGTGTACTTCCTTTAGTTTTCATACGTAAATTATTTTTAACAGTTATAATCATATAATTATACAGTTTTATATAGCCTGGTCTTTTCACCTAAGCATATATAATCTTTGTATTTTTACATATTCTATATAAGCATAATTTTTAATGGTTGCATAAAAGGATATACTTAATTCCTGTTTGGGGACATTTAAATTGTTTTGAAGATTTTGCTATTATATGTAATGCTGCAATGAACATCTTTGTACATAGACTTTGTTTTATTTCAAGTTATTTCTTTAGACTAAATTCTTAGAAAATTAAGTTATTGAATAGATGGGTAGGATTTTGACAGGTGATCAGGGGCTGCAGGAAAGAGGAAGAGGAATGAACACTTTTAGGATTGATGCTGTACACTTTGTATGCAACCCATCTAGAGTAGGCACCCATAATATCAGGTTATGCCACTAGTAGAATAAATGAGAGTGACCATAGGGTTAAAGTGATAACATAAGCAACGTTGTAGTTTAATAGAGTACAGAGATTAAAAGGAGATTGGCCTACTCTATTATATATAATCTTTCCTAATCCCCTGAAATGAAATTCATCTCTTCTTTCACTGCACATTTAGGTCATTAAATCTGAAATGTCCGATTTTGAATCCGAAGTTTAGTTTATTATATCTCAAACAAGAAGCAACACAATTAATCAAAGTATGTGCCTAAACTATCTAAACAGTTTTGCCACCTTAAAGGGGTATCCCAGAAGCAAAGAAGCCTGGAGAGCGAGTGGCAATGAAATCGCAAAAGGTGTTTTCCTCAGCTTGTTGAGAATTGAGTATTTTTCCTTGCAAGAAGTAGTCCACAGCCTGCAAGAAATGGTAGTCAGTTGGTGCAAGGTCTGGTGAATATGGTGAATGACAGAGAGTTTCCAAGTTCAGCTTCTGTAATTTGAGCAGCCTTGTTTGTGCAACATGTGGTCGACTGTTGTCTTGCAGGAGGATTGGCTTGTATCTATAGACCAATCTCGGTTGCTTAATCACAAGCATCCTCATCATTCTGTCCAATTGGTTGCAGTAGACATCCACTGTTATGGATTGACCAGGTTTCATGAAGCTGTAGTGGATAATACCAGCGCTGAACCACAAACACACCTTAGCTTTTTTTCATGAATATTTGGTTTTGGACTGTGTTTCAGCACTTCATCTTTATCCAACCATTGTGCTGAATGCTTGCAATTGTCAAAAAAAAATCCATTTTTCATCACATAACAATACAATGTAGAAATGGTTCACCTTCATGTTGTCACAGAAAAGAAAGGCAGGGTTTGAGACAATTTCTCTTCTGACGCTTGTTTAATTCATGTGGAACCCATGTATCCATCTGTCCAGCTTCTTTACCTTGCCAGTTTGTTTCAAATGGTCCAATATTGTTGGAATAGTAACATCAAACTTTGCTGCTAATTCACACATAGGTCGAGATGGATTCGCTTCCAGTACAGCTTTCAGCTCATCATTATCCACCTTGGTCTCAGGTCTCCCACATGGCTCATTTTTAAGATTAAAATCACCAGAACGGAACTTCTCAAACCATTTACGTACTGTGTGTTCATTAGCCATATCCATCCCAAACACTTCGTTGGTATTTTGAGCTATCTGTGCTGCATTGGTTCCATGATGGAACTCATTAAAAAATAACATGAATTTTTTACTTATCCATGGTTTCACAAAAATTGTTCTAAAAAAAAAATTTGATATTCCGATGATAATTGCAGTGATTAAAAAAAAAAAAATTTGACAGTTAATCACAAGCCAGACCATGCATTTGAAAGAATGAGATGTACCTTAATAGTAAAAATAAAACAAGAAGTGTCAAAGTGAAATGTCAGAGATATCAACTGTCAAACTTAGTACTTAAGGAAATCAGACATTTCATACTTAATAACCTAATAGCATGTTTAGCTAATAGCATGATTATGCTTGTCACATGGCACTTTTCCATTTTCACTTGTTTTATATTTGTATTTTTCCAGGCAGAGAGCCTTTTGAGGGCAAGGGTCTTGTTTTTACCTCATCTACCACAGTGTCTTAAATGTAGTATGTATTTCCTGTTCACTAGATGAATGGTAGAAAGGAGCATTATCTAACAACCTTCTTAGGTCTTAAGTCGCTCTCTCATGTAACATCACTGTTTTGAAACATGTTTCAGAAAGCTAGGAACATGGCTTAGAGTAGACTGTAGAAATGAAAACTGGACCTGAATTTTATTTATGTTAATTTTTCCTTCTCTGTTTTGAGTGAATTCCTGCTCTTTTTGTAGAGTTATAGTCTGAGGTAAAACTTTGGCAAAGGTCGACTGCTACCCTAGGGAAGTGTTAAGGTAGCAGTAGGTACTCTTTTTCTATTGCCCAGTTTGGCACTATGAGGAAAAGGTAATGTAGCTTTGTTTGACTTCTGCCCACTTCCTCTTTTCCTCCTTCCATTTCGGTGGGTGTACAGGTAGCTCGTGTTGAGAAATTTTAATTTCTTAATGTTCTGTATCAGTAGGCTTGCAATATTTATTGTTGGCTTTCCCCAGGCTGGATTTTGATGATGATGGAGAAGGAAACAGTAAATTTTTGAGGTAAGAGATTGAAAAACTTTCTCTAGGCTTCTGATATTAAAAATTAGTTTATAATCTTTGTACTTGCGACTTACAATATTTTTATACTTAGGCCTAAGGAAAGTGCTTCATGCTAACACTATAAATATTCATATTGTACTATATCCCAGAAAAATTTCAAGCATTCTGTTAACTCCAGAGAAAGGACCTCAGTGAGGAGTGAACAGAACATTTATAATACTCTGTATCAGTTATCTATTGTTGTTGCTACATGGCTTAAAAAGAACAACAGTTAATTATTTCTCAATTCTGTGGATTGACTCCATGTTTATTCTGCTGATCTCACCTAGACTCACTCATAAGACTGTATTTAGCTGGCTGGTAAGCTGAGAACTGGACTTAGCTGGGATAGCTGGATATCCCCTGTATGTGGTCTTTTGTCCTCAAGGAGGCCAGGCTGAGTTTCTTCATCTGGTGATGGCCACAGTCTACAGGACAAGTCCCAGTGTGCAAGTGCTTATTAAGCCTCTGCTTGTGTGACATTTGCTAATGTGTCACTGGCCAAAGCAAGTCATATGTTCAAGTCCTGAGTCGATGTGGGAGGGGACTACACAAGGGAGTAGATACTGGGGGGTGTAATTCACGGGGGTCTGGGGGGGGGTCATTAATGTACTACTCTGTTATAGCCCCTGATACCTTATGACTCTTCCTACAAGTAGCAGGAATTGGAATTTATATTTTTGTGTATTGAATCTTACGGAGCTTTAAAAATGGACTATTTAATATATTGATGAAGGGATTCTTTCAGAAAAACTGTCACAGTTTATTCTTGCTGAAGACCAATTGCTTGGCTTGTTTTCAAGTAAGAAAAGCAGTAAGACTCAAAGAAAGGGAGATAACTTTGACCATAACCTGCCTTTTTTCTTTCCAGGGTTGAAAGTATTACCTAGGTTATCTGTGTATTTCTGAGTAACAGATATTTGATAAATAAATAAAGGAGCCCTATTTTAAAAAAATTATTTGTTTATGTGGTTACCCAGATTTGATTTCATTTATTTGTTTTATTAATTAAATTTTTTAATTGGAAAAGTAATATAAATATATTTTATTATAAAAATTTCAAACAGGCCGGGCGCGGTGGCTCACGCCTGTAATCCTAGCTCTCTGGGAGGCCGAGGCGGGCGGATTGTTTGAGCTCAGGAGTTCGAAACCAGCCTGAGCAAGAGCGAGACCCCGTCTCTACTAAAATTAGAAAGAAATTAATTGGACAACTAAAAATATATAGAAAAAATTAGCCGGGCATGGTGGCACATGCCTGTAGTCCCAGCTACTCGGGAGGCTGAGGCAGGAGGATCGCTTGAGCCCAGGAGTTTGAGGTTGTTGTGAGCTAGGATGACGCCACGGCACTCTAGCCCAGGCAACACAGTGAGACTCTGTCTTCAAAAAAAAAAAAAAAAAAAATTTTGAACAGTACAAAGTTATATATAGTGAAAGTACATTTTCCTTTCACTTTGGACCGTAAGAACCCTTCCCTTTAGACAACTACAGCTTCCAGTTTGTTGAGTATTCTTCTAGAAATATTCAGTGCATATCTATTTGTATATAAATGCATGTGTGTGCACATATGCATACTGCTAATCTTCCCAGTTTTTGTTTTTACGCAAAGGATGTCCATTATTGTAAATTGCTTGCCATTGTTTTTTAATGCTTAGTATAGTCAGTAACATTTATCTTTTTTTTTATTATAGTAACGTTTAAAGTTAAGGTTTGTATTTCTCGCTACTGACTAGTTGATGAACCTTACCAGGTACTCTCGAAAACAACCATGACTTGGCCACCATAAAGAAATGGTTGCAAATGAAAGTAATTCTCTAAGAGGTCTCTTGAGACTTAATGGGTCTCAATAAATGTGAAGAGGGGAAGAGATTTCAATTTCAGGAGAAGGATAGACCTTTTCAAAGAGCTTTGTTGGGAATTCCTTCAATTGAAAATCCCTAATTACAATGATAGATGTTATTAGTGGAACTGTGTTGTGTGTATGAATGGTATGGAGGTAACCATTAGTCTTATTTATATCTATCGATTAGCTCTAACCCTGAATTATTGCTTCCACAAAATCCAGTAGTTACAACTGTATGCAAATCCAAAGAGAGGTTCATTTATTCTTTTCCTAACCATAAGAAAAAACTGTCACGGTTTATCTTACCAAGTGGGTCATTATGCCTGAGAAAAGAATCGCCAAATTTATTTGTTCATTAACACAATTTTTTTTAACATTTGGAGTTTTCTAAAAGTGTCAAGGCTTTGACACTGTAGGTTTAATATCAGGGTTATTAGTATCTAGAATAGTGGTTCTCAAACTTGAATGCATGTACAAATCTATGTGGGGTTCTTGTTAAGATGAAAATTTTAGCACAATAGATCTAGCACAGGGTCCAAGATTCTACATTCTGATAGGTTCCTAGGTAAAGCTGTTGCCTCTGGCCCATAGACCACATGTTGAGTAGGAAGGATCCAGAAGGCTCATTTTTGAGATTCAAGGTTAATATTTAAATTATAGGTCTCTTATTTCAGCCAAAGTCACTTATTGTAAGTTTGTAGTATCTGATTTATATAATGTTTTGCATCCTAGAAACAGACCATTTGTTCTTAAGCTGAAATGCCATCATACCTCCATATTGGCACATCATTCTATTAATATTTACATTGAAATAATCTGTAAAGTATTTTCAGCATACTGCCCAACGCTATGCATACTGGTATTTATGGCTTCCCTTTTCGAGAGTCAGAATCTTGTTTCAGTCCTCTTTACATCCTCTTACTTGTCTAGCTCATTGCCTTTCATACAGTAGGCACACAAAAACTATTATGTCACTAAGTCTGTAATGTCTGATTTTGAATCAGAAGTGTGGTTTATTATATCTTAAACAAGAAGCAGTACAGTTAATCAAAGTATGCACCTAAACTGTCACCACAGTTTTGCCATCTTAATGATAGCTTGTTTATGCCAGCAGTGAAGAAGCCTGGAGAGCGAGTGGCAATGAAATCGCAAAAGGTGTTTTCCACAGCTTGTTGAGAGTTGAATATTTTTCCTTGCAAGTAGTCCAAAGCCTGCAAAAAGTGGTAGTCAGTTGCTACAAGGTCTGGTGAATATGGTGGAAGACAGAGAGTTCCCAAGTCTAGCTTCCACTACAGCTTTCAGCTCATCATTATCCACCTTGGTCTCAGGTCGCCCGTGTAGCTCATTTTCAAGATTAAAATCACTAGAATGGAACCTCTCAAACCATTGACGTACTGTGCATTTGTTAGCCACATCCTTCCCAAACACTTTGTTCATATTTGGAGCTGTCTGTGCCGCATTAGTTCCATGACAAGATTCATATTCGAAAATACCATGAATTTTTGACTTATCCATCGTTTCACAAAAATTGCTCTAAAAAAATGTGACAGATAATCACAAGCCAAAATGTACATTTGAAAGAATGAGGGAGCAGCAAGGGCAACATACGTAACCTAAACATCTGTACCCCCTATAATATGCTGAAATAAAAAAAATACCATGAATTTTTGACTTATCCATCGTTTC